AAGAAGAAGCCAAAGAATGTCGTGTATTCTGTTGAGCCAGAGATTCTTGTACCAGCCAGACTAGGGCCTTCTGGAACAGTGGCCATAGCAGCAGCAGTAGCAGAGAAGCAGAGATATGACATGAGATAGAGCAAACCTTGGGATTGCTATGCCATTGAATCTAAATTTGAACCTATGCCATTGAGCTAAGTTTGCTAGACATCTGGGGGTGGGGGTGGGGAGAGCCATAATTGTCGAAGAGATGATGATGATGATGATGATGATGATGATGATGATGATTTTGTGTGTACCATCAAATCGAATCTGACTGGTACAGGAGGAGACTGTCCCTCCTCCAACAGAGCATCTGGTACTCATCTCTGGGATTGCAGTAGTTTATTGCCACTAGGCCACCAGAGCTTGCCATCTGAGAGCTTTTTAACACTGGTCTAAAGCCACGAGACTCAAGGCTGGAGTTCCTGCAAGCTTGTTTCAGAATCTATCCTGACTGTATTCTGCTAGTAACCTTTTAATTTCCCCACTATAGTTCTCTGTGATCTGTGAACTATGGCATAGGATTTTTGGACCCATTAAAGCAGTAAGATTGGTGTTGGGCTGAGTGGAAAGAAATGCAGGAGTGTCAGGGATGTGTCTGACCTCACGTGAAATGGTTTTGCATTGTTGATATGGTTGACAGGGAATGTTTCCCTTTGAGAAATTATTAAAGGTCAGATTATGGCCTTTAAAGATCAATGGAAGCAGATTGCTCATCTTTCTGATGTAGAGCAGCTAGTGGATTAGAACTTTATGTCTTTGGTTTGACAGCACTTTTCCTTACCACTAAGCCACCAGAAAGAATGGTAATCTCATTACAAGGAACCCTGCTGGCGTATATGTAATGTGTTGAACTGCTAACCGAAAGGTTGGCGTTTGACTCCACTATCTACTCCCTAGATAGAAGGGAAAATCTCCTGTAAAGATTTACAGCATTAGATATCCAATAGGGAGTGCTATGAGTCAGCGTAGATGCCATGACAATGTTTGGGTTTTTTTTATTCTCATATCTATTTATCTCTCTCCCAATAAAGGACAATCCAGGGCCTTGCTGTATATACCCTCCAGCTATTAGAATAGTATAGACAGTGGAGGCGAAGAGAATATTTGTGTAGAATCATAAACACCGTGAAGACAACAACCAGAAGGACTGCATGGGCTGGATGGGGAAACTGACGCCAGAGTGATTATCAGTGTCTCCCCAAAAGTGACAGCAATGAGCAGCTTCTGTTTCAAAATGAATTTCCCAGGGCCGCTCACCTCCAGAACCTGAGTGTCCAGGTACCGTATCCTCAGACATGGGGATCTGCTGCTGCCCAACTGCATATGGAGGAAATAAAGCCATTTGGTGGCTTTTTAAGGGTTGTCACATTACACAGACTTCCTTAGATTCTCAGGCTGAATTTCTTCACTCCTTTAGGTAAGGGAATCCAAGAAAAATCCTTCCATCTCTTTCTACTTGGCCTGGGCTCCGAGGTTGTCTGTCATTTTCCTGAAAGACCTGAAAGTGGCCTGGGAGCCTGAGGGCCTGCAGAAGGCGGTGCTGAAAGGCAGCTCCACTGAGTGGCTCTGCGGCTGCTATGGCAGCCAAAACCAAAAGAGGTCACCATTGAGACCACACGCGCTTAATTCTTCCGCTAACGCGTAAGGCAGGCTTGACCCCGAGAGCTGGGCATGAGAGGGCAGGAGAACTTTTCGGACACTCTCTGGCCTGTTTTTCTCCAAGAGTACAATGGATTGCTGTTGTTGTATACCATTGAGTCAGAATCGACCCAGAGTTGACCCTCTAGCCAGTTTTCAGAGGCAGTACAGCATGCTGGAGTTGATTGCCCTTCTTCCTTCCGTGGAGCAGCTGGTGGGTTCGAATCGTGTTACCCTACAATAGGTACAGGGTATTATTAACTAGTGTCCTCCTTTGGAGGGAAACGCCCCACTCTACTTCCCAGCAAGATTGTCAAGCCTGCGAGATCACTGCTGTGTAGGGGTAGTGGCAATCTTCGGATAGGGGGACCAGGGAGGGAAACAGCTCTGAGCGATGCATAATTATAGGAGAAGCCTGTGTTCGGGGACCTGTGGGGGAGAGCCAGCCCCATATCTTCCCGTTACGTGGCCCTCTTGAGGCTGCCTGAGCTCCAGGCTCACCCTGGCTCGGAGCTTCCAGGGAGAAGAGAAGCAGGGTGTCGCCACGGCTTCAGCTCCGGGGAGAAAATGAAGCGGAGCCGCCTAAGTGCTCCCATCTCTGGTCGCCCAGGGCGGCTCTGACGAGCCCCCAGCCCAATTCTCTCTAGAGGTTTCAAAAGGATAGGCAGCCTCAGGCCCACTCAAGATCCACCCCACCCTGCCCCCACCCGGAGCCCTGCCGGCATCCTCGCTTTGCCTTTGGGCCAAAAGCCCCCTCCGCCCACCCAATCTCCTCATCCTTTAACCCCTCCTAATCCCTCTCCCCTCCCGCCGTCCGGGAAATCTTTCTGAATCCGGGCTCCGCCCTCAACTCAGACCAAGCCCCCGAAAAGGACACGCCCATCTCGCCCGTCCGTTTACTCCGCCCCCATGTCCCACCCAGCCCAGGCTCCGCCCTCCCATTCCCCGCCCCAACCGGGGCCCCTAGTCCGCTATTTCTCTCCGCAGACCCCGCCCTCAGCCCCGGAAGACTCCCCGCCTCCGGCCCCGCCCCCCCGAAGTTTCTTGGGCCGCCAGCCGCTGGCGGGACAGAACATAGAGAGCCGCCGCCCGGCCGAGTGCGGATGGGACTGCAGGAGCCTTCACGGCTCCGGGAGTGAGCGGCGGAGCGGCCGGACCTCCGCGGATTCGTCATGGAGGAGGTGAGGACCGGACTAGGCGGGGCGGAGGGGAAGGCTGGACTGGGGACTTCGAGCCCCTCAAGGCGGTTGGGGTCCTGGGCTCAGGCCCTTGGCCCTGCCCACTCCACTCCCGCTGGTCTGAGGACCCCCCATTCACGGGCAGAGCCTAGGCTGGTGGGGTCGGGGCGGGGATCAGGTCTACGCTGGACTCTTCGCAGACCGCATCCTCCTTTACGATCTCTTTGGCTTCGCTCACCAACCGTGGAGGGTCGTTGTTGTTATTGTCCCTATTTTGGACTAACGGGAGACGGAAGCGAGTTTGGCGACTTGCTGAAAGTAATCGAGAGAGCTGGACTCGAACCCAGATTGTCATCGATTTCCTCTTCCTTGGCCTTTTAGGTTGGAGCCCAAACGGGCAAGCTGCTTGTATGCATGTGTCGTAAGGGGTGTCTAGGTTCTGGAGTTCTGGTCTCAAGGAATCTGAGGTCGGAACTGGCCTGTGGTAGGAGGACTGGAGAAGTTTCATCTTTCTGAGTCTCTTTCCCCCTGCCTTCCTCCCGGACGCTCTAGCTTCATATCAGGCCTGCCTACCTCCTCTCTTCGGAAGGAGGGAGAACCCTCCCCCGCGGGAGTTTGACTGCTGGCCCCACAGTACCCCTTGAACCTCCCTCTTACCCTTCAGGACTCCCCTTATCTGGAATGGGGTTCAGACTCAGTGTACAAACCCAGTTCTCCCTGCAGACCCATCATCCAAGAGTCTACACAGAGCAAACATCTAATATATGACTATGGAATGAATAAATTAGAAAGAAGGGCTTGTTGGGTCTAGAAGGTGTTATCTGCTTTGCCTCTTAACCCCTCTAGGGGGTCCTATTTTCTGGCCCTTTCAGCTGAAGGGAAGGGTCAGTTCTTGGATGAGTGAGGAAGGAAAGTGAAACCTTTACTCTTCGGGCGACCCTGTGTTCTCATCAGTACCCACCTCCCTACTTCCAGAAGCCACTGCCCTAGGGCAGTGGGCCTGGACATCAGCTTTCCCTGTAGGCCAGGCCCTGTGATTCTGTGGGATGGTAGATAAGTCACTTCCCCTCTCCCCCTGCATTTCCTCTTCTATTAAATATGGGGCCTAACCATTCAGGGTTCTGGCTGTGTGGTTGTGGCCCCTTCTCTCAGAATAGATGGAGGTGGGGAGGCAAAGTCAGCCCTCTGTGATTTGCTATGGGTTTTTTGCCAGCAGGGGTGGGGCTGCCCTCCCTTTGCCTGGGGCTCCTGCTGTTTCAAGGGTTGGGTTTTCTGCCCTCCACCCCTCCCCTGCTCCCAGAGGATGTGGGTCAGGATTATTACTCCGTCTCCCTGACTGGGCTGGCCCTCAATTAAGAGAAGTTCTCCTGGACCAATGATTTGTCTCTGGCCAGCCCAGCCTGTTCATTCCTCCTTGTTCCTAAGCCTCTGACTTTATCACTTACTGCCAAAAGCTTCAGGCATACCTGGGACGTCTGTGGTTTTAACCACCTGCACCCCTACCCAAAACTCACCCACACATACCTGGCGCCTGGTTGCCCTCTCGCCTTTGACATTTCTAGCTCCCCATCTCACTTTCTCTCCCAGTAGCTTCTACTGATTTCTCCAGACCTCAGTGCCCATCTTTGTTTCTCCCAGACACTTCTTAGAACATAGGCATCTGTTCTGATGCATGACCCCAGACCCAGAAAGACCTTATCACCCTTCCAGGTGGTGGCTGCTTACAGCCCAGACCTGTGCCAAGCTCTCTCAGCCTCAGTGGCATCCATCCTCTGTTCAGTGGATGTCATCAGGCTGAAGCTTGAAGAAGTGCTGGTCTGAATAGATGCCCATCTGCGATCTCAGGGACTTAGAAAGTGTGATATGTGTGCAAAGACTTTGAGACAAACAAATATCAGCATAGAGTATTAGTGCTACTGCTGGAGTAATAATAAGAACCCTCTCCCAGATTTTCTTATCTGTGCCCTGAGATTCTTCTCCTTTGCTGTTCTGTAGTCTTGCCTTTCTTGGTCTTGCTCTAGTTGGGTGACTCTAGGCTTTGCTAGAGAGAGACAAGGTATTCTGTCCCAAGTCCGTGACTTAATTGCTCTATAGTGAAAGGGTTGAGAGTTTAGGGTCTTTGACACTTTTTGTTTCTTTCTTTCTCCAAGATATCTGGTGCGCATATCTCTACCCAAATCCTGAGTTCTGCAGGAACTTCTTAAATATTTCCCTGACCTGAGAGCTAGGACTGAGCTCGGAAACCCTCAAGAGGGGGTCCTATTTCTCTCTCAACAGACTGAGAGCCTCTTGAGAGGAGAGTGTGTATACTCCCCCTTTGGGGACTTCACTTGGGCAAGGTCTGTATCATTCCTACTGGACTGGAATGTCCTCTAGGTTACTGTGCCTGGCATTTGACTAGGGGTTCCTAAGAGTTGGGGCATTGTGTCCCTCAGATTGGGAGTTCCACCTGGCTGGGCTTGGTGGATCTTTAGTCAATTTGGTCTGAGCATCATCACGTATTAGAATCTAGTAAAGGGCCAAGGTTATCTGCCTGTGGTGTGAGGTATTGCTTGTCAGCAAGGCTTCTTCTGCCGGGCTTCATCTCTCTGTCACGGTCTGTGTGGTGTGTGTGGCTTCCCACCTCCTCCTTTTTCAACACAAGGTTGAAGTCACCTAGTATCTCTTTTTGTCCAGTGAATGACCTAGAGACCCTCCCACCTCAGGCAAAGGAGAGCAAGGCGAGGCCCCCAAGGATGCCCTAGGAGCTGCTCACAGTGGGCAGGGGAGACCCTGGGAGAGGACGGATGGAAGGGGGGGAGAGGGTGAAACCAGAAGAGCAGTGGTCAGCTGGTCAATAAGAGGACAGGAGGCCTAGAAACTGGGTTGAGCAGGACAAAAACCTCTCTTGTGAGCCCTGCCAAGGGGAGGGGGCAATTAGGAGAACTTACTGGGGCAAAGTCAGGGTCACTGGTAGGTTGAGGTCTGAGAGGGAGAGAGAAGGACAGGGTGGAGGGTGAGAGGCAAGCAAGACTCTGTGACTACTGCCTTGGGTGATTCTTGATAGGAAGTTCCTTCCCTAAACCTTGGCTCCTATCATCCTCAGTCCTATCAGTTGTTCTTTGACCCCCCTACTACTTTTTAAACCTTTCTACCTTACACCTACCATGGTCCCACCAGCCCTAGACCTGCCTCTGCAGCTCACCCTAGTATTCACTTATTCTGCTCTGGTCATCCAGAAAGGACAATGGTTAAGACCCAAGGTTCCTGCTTTGCACCCTGAGATCTTCATGTGACACACAGTGTGTGAGGCAGGCAAGGGCAACAAGTAGAGGGAGTTTAGTTAAGGAGTAGATTCCATGGGCTGGTGATTGGGCCCCTAAAAGGCAAGAGGAAAGCTGGAGCTTAGAAATGGGAGATCCAGCCAACAGCTTTATACTCCACAGCCCTAACTGCCTTAAGAGACACACATTGTGGCCATCCAGGCCACAGCGGGCCTCAGCCATGACCAAGAAGCTGGAGCCAGCCTTGCCCGTAGAAAGGATGTGAGTGTGTGAAGTGTGGGGGTGAGGTTTCCCTTTTCTCAGTTCTTCCCTTCCAGCCCTGGGCCTGTGACATCCTTCAGGGAACTGTTGAGGGGGCTGAAGCTCTGGAGGTCACACATTTCACTGGGAGCTGAACACAGGATGTCAGCGTTGGTGTGGGAAGGGGGCAGTCAAGTGCAGGAATAGAGTGTGAGAGCTGTGTCCTCTTGCTTTTCTTCCACTGGACAGGGTGGCTTGTAGCTGACCCACGGACAGGCCTCCCACTTCCTCATTCCACCATCTGGGAAGGCCATTTGAGACCATCCGCTTCTCCATTTCTCTTACCATCTGTAAGTCAGTAGAGACCCAGAAGGAATACCCCACATGCATCGAGATTCTGGAGTCCCAGCATCTGTCACCCAGAAAGACTTTGTCCTGAAGTTTGAACCATGCCCAGGGAGAAGGGTCCATTTGCACAAGGGAGGATGGGAGTGATGGCAACAGTAACAGTAATGCTTTGTTGTTGTTGTTGTTAGGTGTCATTGAGTTGTGGACGACTTATGGCAACCTTATAAACGAAAGACCTGAACACTTGTATAACTTTCATTGTTTCTCCACTTTCCGTTTCCAGAGGCAAGCTATTTAGGAAGTGGATGCCACTCCTGCTTCCAAGCTTGTTTTAATCAGGGAGCGCCTCCAAACCCTGTCCACCATGTGTGACCATTATCACATTTGACACAGACCGGTGCTTTACCACTTAGAAGAATGTTTGACCAAAACCAATGAAAACCAGTCCTGAGGGTTGCAGATTAAAATCACCCACCTTTGACTTGGTAGCATAACTTTCTATCTACTAGGCCAGCAGAGCTCTCTCGATGTTATTGTTGTAATGCCTACTGTTTGCCAAATTGAGGCTATACTAGACACTACATGCCTTATCTTTATTCAGCACTAAACATTTATTAAGCATACTGTATATAAGGCACTGTACTAGGTATTGGGGATACTCAAGACCCTGCCATTAAGTTGACTTATAGCAACCCTCCAGTGGCTTTTTGAAGCTATAAATCTTTATAGATAACTTACCATCTTTCTTTCTGGAAGCAGCTGATAGATTCAAACTGCTGACCTTTTAGTTCTTAGTCCAACACATAACGCATCAAGACATCAGGGATACAACAGGTAAATAAAGCAAAAATCCTGGCCTAGTTATAATCCTTCCAGCTTCTGTTAATACCCATTTCACAGATGGCTTAGAGGGGTTAGTTGACTTCTTTCTGATGTGTAGGATTTGAATTTCAAAGGCCAGACTCCCAAACTACCAGAAAATGCAGTTCAAAGTGAGAACCTGGCTGGGGCTTCCCTGCAGAGAAGAGCAGAGTTGCCTGCCTGGCCCAACCCCCGACAGCTCACCACACCTACATCTGCCTGGGCTTGTCCTTCCTAAGGCAGCTGTGGCCATAGGGTGTCCCTGGGGAGAGGCGTGTCTCTTTTGACTGGGGCCTCTTTTTTTAGGTTTATGTAAATGATAAAATATTTAAAATTAGTCAGTGCTAATTTCCTTCTAGCATCCTCTAGATTCCGACACCCTCTTGGCCACCTTTCCTGCCCTCTCCTCTCAACTCTCACTTCTGGGGGCTGTGGGGGGTGGGGTAGCACGCCAGTCACTGAAGCAAAGTATTTTGCATATTTTATGTTTATTTCTTTTCATCACAGATATTTCTTGCGCACTCAGTATGTGTAAAAGAACAGTGCTGCTTGCTTGGGGCTGAGAGGTGTATCTGGTCCCCTCTGGTGGGCCAGCACTTGACATACCTTACTCCCAGCCACCCAGGCAGGTGATGAAGGGGCCACAGGATGTCAGTGACCAGACTTGAGGCTCCTGGTTGACTGCCCATGTCTCTGAGAAGGGTCTGAGTTTAACTCCTCTATCAGCTCATGACCAAAGGCAAAGAGCCCTTGGAGTTCTCACCACGTGGATTTTGTCTGCAGGGGGTGGCAACCCCAAAGTCCTAGCCTGGGATAGGACTTCTGGGATAGAGGAAGCAGGGACTGCAGAGAAGGTTCTCTAGAATGAAGGAGACCAGTCATCCTTCTGCCTGCCAGCCTCTTCACAACGTGCAGATCCTTGCTTAAATTCTCTGGGATGCCTTCCTGGACTACCCTGACCTGAACCAAACAGGGTCCCCCACCTTCCTCACTAGTGGCCCACTGTTTGTTTCCTCCATCACTTTTCACAGTTAATTCATATGTTAATTCCTGGTGTTTGCTAAGCTTTCCATCTCACCTTTGTGAACTCCATGAAGGCAGAGGGCAGGTGTTGTTTTTATTTACTTCAAGCTGGCCCAGCGCATGTGACAGTGTAGGTGTTCAGGACAATGTTTGTTGACTGGTTGAGTGAACATGTGGCTGGACATCAAAGGAGGCAGAATGGGAAGAACATGGGGTCCAGAGAAAACAGATCTGAAATTCTGGTTCAGTGCTTCCGGCTGTGTGACTCTGGACAAGTCATCTTTCTTCTAGTTTACTGGGGGTAAACTCAGAGGCTAGTTAACTGTACAGGTTAAATGAAACAATGTGTGTGAAACTCAACATGGTGGCTCAACCATAATGTGGCTGGTGCTGAGATGATTACACGGACTCCTGTTCTCACTGTTACTGGATTAGGAATATTCGGCTTGGAAACTAGAATGATGTCAATGGTACCCGGCAAAAGAACACATCCCTTAGTCATGACATGTCCTGGTATTATTTTGCAGGGTGTGAAGGAGGGAAGTGAGAAGCCACGAGGAGGCCGGACAGCAGATAAGGCCGGCTGGATCAAGAAGAGTGGTGGAGGCCTCCTGAGTCTCTGGAAAGATCGATACCTGCTCCTCTGCCAAGCCCAGCTGCTGGTCTATGAGAATGAGGTGAGGACTGGCCTAGTCCTGAGGTTGGGAGTTTCTGGGACAGGGCAAAGTAAGGCAGCACAGGCCAGTAAGATTAGCCCGGGGTGAGAACAATTCTTCCTTTGACCTACCTTAGACAAAAGTTAACTTTCTCTAGGCTTCTGTTTGCAGTATGGAAGAAGTCTCTCAGGAGAAAGTTGAACAGTCTCTTCCCATGTGATTTACAGTTTCTGAAACTGGAGGGTCAGCTATGAGTTGATTCACATTCGATGTACATAACAACAACATATCTTGGGGCAAGCTAGATAGGATGAGAGTTTCTTTGAACTGTATGTGCGTTTAGATGTGTGCTTATTTTTTCGATTGTATATCCACACATTGCAACTCCCTTTCACTGGACAAGGGTTCCACATAAATTAATGGTCCAGCAAACTGAAGCTTGCCCCATTCATCAATGGTAATAGAAATAATAGAAATAAAAAAGTGCTCGTTCATGTTTGTTTGGGACTCAGCTGTTTACTGCTCACTGACATTCACAACAGTTCCATGACAGGAGGCATATGGTGCACTTCACTGAAGAAAATCCCAAGAGTCAGGGGGCAAAATGCTTATGGAGCATCTCACAGTGACTGGAGGAACAAGTTTAGATTCAAAACCAGTGCTTCTTTCCTGAGAGAGACCAGCTAGTAAACTCCAACACTATTTTTGGTGGCAATCCTCTAAAATATCTTAAATGTTTTCTTCAACAGTAGGTACTAACTTAAGTTGATGGTGAAGGCCCCTCCTTATCAGAATACCCGACTCTGCTGGCCTGTGCTTTCCAGCTTGCTTTCTCCTGCATTAGTCCGCTGTGTTCATTCTTCCGACAGCCTTTCCCTCTTCCCCCTCCAGACACTTGTGCTGCTCTGGTTTTCAGCAGGCTTGAAACTTAGTAAGATGTTAAAATTGTGTTAAGTAAGAGTCAGTAAATCTCTGTGTAGGAAACCAATGAGGATAAAAACATTCATTCACTGTGGGAATTTGTGACTATTTTTGGTGGCTTTTACTTGTAGATATAGTTTATCTTTTGAAGTTGAGGCTATCAGAGTACTCTCCTACTGAAAATGGTGTATAATGCTGTTATGCCTTTGGCACATGAAAATACATGGAAAAGGATGGCCCCAGGGGCAAAAAAAAAAATGACAACTTCTCATTCGCATCACTCCTCTCTCCCTTTCCCCCAGGTATTTTGATATGTCCATCATTGTCCCAAAGGAGCACTGGTGGCTAAATGGTAAGAAATCCACCAGCTGCTCCATGGGAGAGATGGGCAGTCTCCTCTTTCTTGTGCAATTTGTTGTTGTGTTATGTGCCATCGAGTTGCTGGCGATTCACAGCGACTTTGTGTACAGCCGCTCTGAACCCTGCTCTACCGTGTGCCAGCCTTATTGTCTCTGACACACCTAACCCCCATTACCTCAGTCACTGAATCAAGGGTCTCATTGAGGGTCTCTGAAAAACCTGCTAGAGGGTCAGCTATGAGTGGGATCGGACTCACCAGCAAATCACAGCAGCACTATAATTGTCCCAGGCCAACGGAGTCTGGGCAACCTGGATGTAAGTGTTTAGAGGAACTGCCTTTGGGAGCGTCTTGCTCTCCTGCTCTAGTCCTCAGGCTCATGGTGAAAGGTGTTGGAGAAGCAGCGGAGGAGAAAGCAAGGGGACGAGGGTGTGCAAACAGGCAGCCCCAGATGTTCCATACTGCTGCTATCACTAAATTAGGAGGTGCCGCATTTGGGAACGTGGCAGCAGAAGGATATTTTTATAATAAAGGGGGTTGTCAGAGCTTCCTCCAGTCCCAGCTGCTATAGGAGTGAGTGACAGGCTCCCCAGCTGTTAGTCCATCAGGCACTGCCAGACTTGTCCTGGGCCGCCTTGCCACATCTGGCTCCAGCTGGGAAGCAGGAAGGATTCCACATCTTCCAAACATGAAAATCCAAATTACACATTTTTAAAAATAAAATAGAAATTTGAAAAAAAAATCATTATTAAAAACCTAAATGCAGTTTTGAGAACTTAGCACTTAAGGGTGGGGGAGCTTGGCCCAGGAGTAGGAATTGAGAAATGCTTATTAGCTCAATTCCTCTTTCTGATGTAAGGAACTAGGCAAGCTCTTGGCTGTATCTTTGCTGTCAGAGAGGCTGACATTCCAAAGATGCAACCCCCGCCCAGTGGCTTCTGGTTTATCCATTTTTTTGAGCCACAGAAGGGCCAGGATGATTCAGCATTTCTGGTGGGGAAGAGACCCAGGACAGGCAGTTCTGGGGTGTCAGTATCTGGTGGTGGGATGGATTGAGGGGTGTGTTTGTGTCAGTGTTTGCCCATTTAAGGAAAGCTTGCAGACATGGGATAGGTGAGCTGTTCAAGTGATCCTTCCCCTTTCTCTGGATACCCCGCTAGGAGATACTTCCTAGGGTCTTTCTAATATCATACATTTATTTCAGCAAACCATTGTTATCTATGTCCCTCCTGAGGGAAGTCCTGTGCAGAGTGCTGGGAGAGAAACAGACACACAAGGTAGAGCAAGAAGGCCAAGCAGGGAGTTAGCGTGTGCTTTCTTAGCATGGACCCTGCCCATGTCACCAGGTAGGTTTGTGTACTCTCAGCAGAGGAGAGAGCACCTGGGGCTCATGACGTATTGCCTGGGAGCTTCCTGGAGTAGGGGCTTCTTACTGGTCTTTCTGTAGGGTGTGTGCTACGAACCAAAAGGCTGCACATCTCTGATGGTTCAAAACCACCAGAGGCTTTGAAGGAGAAAGATGAGCAATCTCTCATTGTGATTACAGCCTCAGAAACCTGATGGAAGATCTCTGAGTCAGAAGTGACTCGACATCAGTGAATCTGAGTTTGTGTTCACTAGAGGAACTTGGAAGGGATTGGAGACTAGAGGTTGGAAATAGAGGTATGGAGGCAAACATGGGAAAACATAACCTGAATAAATTTGGATGGGAGGGACCAGGCTTCTCTGGCCCTCTGATTTCCTTTATCTGAACTGCTGAAGAAATCATGTTGTTAGTTAGCTGCTATAGGGTCCACTCCTGTAGACCATGCACAAAATTGAAATTATATCCTGGGCTAGTTTTCAGAAGTCGATCTCCAGGCCTTTCTTCCTGGTCTGTTTTAGTCTAGAAGTTCTGCTAAAGCCTGTCAGCGTCACAGCAATATGCAAGTCACCACTCACAGATGAGTGGTAGGTATCCACACATGAGTTGTATATGCTGGAAATCAAACCTGGGTCTTCCATGCAGAAGATAAGAATTCTACCACTGAACCACCACTACCATTGAAGAGAGCATAGATTAGTGGTTATCCACCCAGCCAGTGGAGATCCAAATGTCACAAATCTTGGCTGTTGCCTGGGCATCAGGGTTTTTAGAAGCTTCCATGTACCTCCAAGGCTGAGAACCACTGGTGTGGCACATCACAATCACCTGGAGGGTCTGTCAGGCCCATCTTCCCAGGTTTATCAGTCAGTAGAGATGGAGCCTGAGGATCTGCATTTCTAAGAAGTTCTCAGGTGATGCTCATTCTGCTGCTGGTTTAAGAACCACATGTAGACAAACACTACAGAGAGCCTGTAGATAATGCACTGAGGCAGGGGTGCTCTCTGAGTGTTAAGGTCTTGGTACACACAGATTAACATAGAGGAAAATGGTTTTTTTCTCAGCGAATAATCAAGTCCCTGCCTCCCAAACTGAAAACTGACTAGCACTGAGTCAGTTACCCTTGGGTAGCTCTCTCTGCATGATTGTCCTGGGTTGTCCTAACTTGTTTGCCACTCTCAGGGCATTGTGCCCCCAGAAAGGACCTGCTTTTCAAGGGAGTGTGCTGCTTCCTGGAAGTTGTTTCAGCCTGGTCCTCCTGGATGGTGAAGCAATTGACCAGCACTGAGTGGGGGAGCTTGTGTCCTCCCTGGCAGCTTGCTGGGAGAGGTCTTGGGTGGGTTGAACCCATGGAGAAACCCTCAAGTGTGCAAACTGCTGGATAGGAAGACAGCCTGGCCAGTGTCCAGGGATGACACTGATGATGGCCTGAGAGAGGCCTCATGCCGGCAGGCCAGGAGTGCTCATTTTGCCGTTCATGATTACAGCTGAGGCGAGGGGTTGGTTACTCACTCTGCAGAAGATACTGGATTGTGGATGTATGTTCATGCTTCCCTCTGTGGCTCTGCCTTTCCCTTTTCCTTCTTGGTGACATCTTACTTACTCTTCCACACACCCTGCTTGGCCTCTGGACCCACGTGAACCCTCCCTTATCCTCTCTAGCACCCACTCTGTTCTCTCTGGCCTCAGGCACATTTGACTCAATGCTGCTGCCCACCTCCAGGTTGTGTACCCTGAGTCTCATTTGGATGGTGAGCCTCAATCCCATCCCTCCATCCTGTGTGTCCTGAGCATCAACCATGTGCCTCATGGCGTCTGAACACAGCATCTTGGTGACTGAATGAATGACAACTTTGAGGCCCCTCTCTGACTGCAAGGCCCTCAACTGAGTAGAACGTCTGGGTGCGCCTGGCTCTCACCAGTTCGTGTCTCCTCTGTCTTCCCTGCAGGATGAGCAGAAGTGTGTGGAGACAGTGGAGCTGGGCAGTTATGAGAAGTGCCAGGACCTCCGTGCCCTCCTCAAGCGGAAACACCGCTTCATCCTGCTGCGATCCCCAGGGAACAAGGTAGGGAGGTGCCCCCTGCTGCCTCAGTGCCCTTGGGGCCAGTTGTCTTGGGACGATCATCCTGGAAGGTTCAGACCATGTGTCCAGTTTGCACCTTTACTCATTTTGTCTCGGTGCCTCCCTATCCCCTGATGATAGGACATGCATTTCAGGCTGTGCTAAGAAAGCTGTTCCTCTCTCTCCATCCCAGGCCATGGGGCCTCTTTCGCAGGCTGTACTTGGAACTTAGCCTATGAAGGGTGAAACCTTGGTCCTCTCCAACACCCTGGATGCAGAGGCCTAGGGCTGGGGCAGGAGAACTGTGAATGAGGCCTTCACCCTACCAGGCCTCTGACATCATGATATAAGCTGAGCGGAGGGAGGGCGTGGCCTCTTCTTCAGACCAAGCCTTCCTGGGTGGGCCACCCTCCTGCTCTTATCCCAGACTCAGTGCCCAGAGGCCTGCAACCTCTCTGCTTTCCTTCCCTTGCACTTTTCTTCCTCTGCTGGAACTGAGGAAGTCTGCTGCCTATAAGGTGGTTTCCCTGTGACATGCTGTGTGTGCAGATAAAAAGTTTGCTGTTTGTACCACATGCTTCTGGTGATGAGTCTGTGTGGGTGTTGACACGTGGCATAGCTTCACAGATGTCAGGAAGGAATTGAGATTGGGAGGCTGGTGTGTACAGCACCTCTCGTCAGTTCTCGCCCCTCAGCAGCTGGGCCACGCATCACACCACCCTGACCACTTGCATGTCCCAGGAACCTCGCCTGCAGAGTGGGGTTGAGTCACAGAGGCTGGGCCTACCTGGAGCCAAACACTTTTCTTCCTAGATCTCTGGGTCCTAGGCCCTAGAGTAGGCCATGATGCTTTGCTCAACAATTTTTATCCTGCTTTGTGATGGATTAGGCAAAGAAGGAACCAAGACAGCAGTGAAGGGGCTCCACCCTGGATGGGGGGGATATTGAGAGATATGCCCAGAAGAAGAGAAGTAAAAGTGTATTTCTAGTGTTAGGAGGCTCAATGAGGCTGATCTCTGCTCTTTCAAGAAGAGGAGAGCCATATGTTAGTCCCAGAAGACCTTGTCCTAGAGACTCAGTTCCTGTCTGTGTGGGTGTTGTGTAGGTGTGTGTGTTTGTCAGAGTTTTGGAGTGTATTATGTGTCTGTTGCATGTGAAAGTGAGTGTTGGCCTGGCCATGAGTTGGCCTGTTTGTGTGCTTCGTATGGTGATTATATATAGATGTGAAGTGGAGGCTCTTTGGGACTCTGTCCTCTCCCCATACTGTTCTGGGGGCTTCTTCCCTCCCCCAGCTCTGAAAATCAGCTGGTGGTGGGCTCATTGGGCCAGGCCAGCTCAGGGTGGGCCCTTAATAGAGATCTGTTTGTGCAGCTGTATTCTCTGCTGCTTCAGCCAACACCCTTCCCCCTCCCTAAGCCCTGCCAAGAGTTCAGGTTGGCCCTGGACAACTCTGCGGACAGAATAATCAACTGGGATAGGGGACTGAGGAGTCTGTTAGTGGGGACAGCAAGGTGGTGGGAAGATAGCACATCCAGTTTTAGATCTCAAGGGCTGCCTGACCCTACCACCTGTAGGAGCGCCTGCAGACGGCATGGGCCCCGAAGTCAGATGGTGGACTGTACTGCAGCATCCTGTCACCCTCTTTTCCCACCACCATGGGTGTTCCCATCCTCAGCAAGGCCTCCAGCCGGCCATGAGGTCACATGACCCTGGCTGTCTGGTCCTGGGGCTGTCTTCCCCGCCCCCCCCCCCCCCCCCAAATCAAATAAACAAAGACTCCAGTGTCTTGCATGGCCCTTCTCCCCCTGCCTCCTCATCCCCACAGCCCTGCCCATGAGGTCACAGGCAGACGCTGCCAGGAAGCAGGGTGGCCGCGGCTGGGCCTCTCTGCCCCACTGTTCCCGGCCAGCTTGGCCCTTTCCTTTTCCTCTTCACCTCCTCTTGCCCCCTCCCACATTCTTCCTCTTTGCCATTTCGTCCTCATTCTCCCCCTTTCCCCAGGCCACAGGGGTCTGCTCCAAGGACAATTTTGACATCTTCTGCGCCCTCAGCAGGGCCTTGGGAAAGGGACCTGTGTAGTCTGTTGGCTCTACAGGGGTGGAGAGGGCCCTCAGGAGAGATTTCTTGATATTTTCTTTGTCCCCATTCTAGTCATTCTTGTGGAATGCCTGGTGCATTCAGCCAGGATTACAGAGTTCCTTAGGGTGAGCTGAGTGTGATTTAATCTCTTATGGGAACCTTTTAAAGGAGAAATGGTAGTGATGTGGTTAAAGTGTTGGTTCACTAACCTAAAAGGTCATCTATTTGAACCTATCAGCCTTTCTGTGGAGAAAGGCAATTTTCTTCCATGAAAATTTACAGCCTTGGGAATCCTGCCCTATTCTGAAGGATTTCTGAGTCCCAGTCCCTGGTTGTGGGTAGGTGGGAACACTTTGACCAGCAGTGTACTAGGTCCTCCCTGAGGCTACATTTTCCTCACAGATGCCTGCCACAGACCGGAGCCTGAGGAGAAGGGCCTTTCTTTGAGCTGGCTCAGGAGTTCTGTTCTAGGCCCAGTAAGGCCTAGAACAGCGAAGGAACCTGTGTAGGGTGGCATCGCCGGTTGGTGAGACTAGAACCAAGCTCTTTTGGCTCATCGCCCGGTGTTCCTTCCTTTGTGCCACTCATGCTGCTTGGGCTGTGGCATTCAAGTGTATCCTTCTCAAAGCTCTGCCAGGCCAAGGGCTGCCTGGAGGCAGGCACCTGGCCAACACGGGGCCTGTGCACAGGAACAGACACCAAGTTCTGAGGGGCTGGGCCTGACTCCCTTTCTGTGCCATTTGGGTGGGCCTTTGCAGACCCTCCCTGGACTCTGTGCAGCCTTGGTGGCTGGGCTAAGAGGCAGTTAGTTGCCAAGGTGCCCCAGGGATTCTGACTTAACTACAGAGATCTGCTGCCAGGATCAAATTTACTCTGGCCATGCAAATGAGCATTTGGCTGTGCCTGGCGTGGGGGTGGGTAGGTGGGACCCAGGCCCTGTATGAAGAGAAGGAGGCAGCAGCCAGGAGGAAGTTATATAACAGGGATGCTGAGGGGCCAGGCGCACCCGGTGTTACATAACTGGGAGACTGGTGGGAGGGACATGCTATCTAACACCGGGCCGGGGGATGGGCAAGCTGGCGACCCGCCGGACAAGAACTAGGACATCTTGAGGTCAGAGTAGGCAGAGGCCCAAAAGTGGGGTGAGAGAGGGAACCTCTGGTCAGTTCATTCATTCATGGGCTCATTCATTTGGTAAACAGGTAATATGCCTACTGTGTACCAGGCCCAGATTGTTTTGTGTTTTTTTTTTAAATAAAATGCCCTGCCAACAGTTGACTCCAACTCACAGTGCCCCTGTAGAACAGAGAACAACTGCTTATGAGATTCCTAAGGCTGGAAGTCTTTAAGGAGGAGATGGCCTCATCTTTGTGCCACAGAGTGGCTGGTGACGTTGAACCACCGACCTTGTGGTTCATAGACGAGTGCTTTAACCATTGTGCCACCTGAGCTCCTGTCCTGGTTTTAATCCTGTTTAATTCTCTCAGAATCATAGAAGGTGATGCTGTCCCATTTTACAGATAAGGAAAGTGAGACTAGTTTCTCCAGAGGAAGGCAATCATTTCTGTTACTTGGCGGTCACTCTGTGCCCAGGTTTAGAAATAGTGCTGGGCATGAATCACTTTCCAGAGGTCTTCACATCTCTGTGAGGTGAGTCGAAACTTAGTCTCCAGTTTAGACAGCAGTGAGTGGGTTACTATCCATCTCTTATGCTGCACTACTCTGTTTACATGACCTAATTCCTCTCAGAGAAGGAAGACTGGCGGTACTAGTCTCCTCAGGAAGAAAATAGGCAGTCTCCTCCATTTAAAATTTGCAGCTTTGGCCATCGATGGCAGGTTGCTATGAGTCAGAAGTGACTTTACAGCAATGTGTGTGTGTGTGTGTGTGTGAGAGAGAGAGAGAGAGAATTCCCTCACACTCATTTCCTGTCAATTTGAGGCCTGAAAAGGAGGGTTCTCTCTGAGCTGCCCTGTATTTCCACTATAGGAAAGGACTGATGTAGGTGGTGTGGGAGGGGGACCAGAGGTCATAGGATCTACTTCAAACCACACAGGACCTTTACCACATCCTGTCCTCACTGTTGAGCCTCATTTTTCTCATGAAGAACACACAACACCCTTTCTCTTTTTCCTCAATGTAAAATAAGAAACGAATTCTGATTCAAAGATTTTCAAATTGCAAAATGCCAAAATGAAAGTTCAAAATGGGATCCCAAAGCACACCTTTTCTC